AGAAGAGAGGGTGTATGGGGGAATGAAGTGTTATGTTGGGTTTTTTTTTTTTTTCCTTTTTTTTTTTTTTTTTTGCACAGTATATAAGTGATTGTATAAAATGAAAATGAAAATGAAATAAAAATATCCAGTCAGAAGAAAGAGCAACAGTTTGGCAGTAATTTATCAGGTTTGGCATCGAATCAAGGATTGCATAAAACCAACTAGTCCAACCATACTGTTAAAACAATTTGGCACATGATTTCCAATTCTAGTTTGATCAATTGAGATCTAGATGTAAAATAATCTTAACCATAATTTGACTTGGATTGAATTGAGCCAAAAAGAAAGTGAAAACGAACTAATTCATCTTAAATGCATATGTGGATGTGTCTACATTGTGCAGATAGACCACAACTTGCAACCAGTTTGGATTGAAATTTCAATCGCCAAAAGAGGTGGTCAGTGAGTTGTGCCCAATTTTTCTACCCTTTATTGCCAAGCTTGTTAAGCAAATCACCATATTCATTAAGCAAATCACCAATGTTAAGCAAATCCAGTTTCTTCCATTGACTTTGTTTATAAAAAGTTGACTATTACAAATGGCGATCATTATGACCTCATGACACCACAAACCATGGGTTGCCAAGCGCTCCAATTTTGACTACATGACCATGGGAATGCCGTAATGGTTGTGTGAAGTCACTATTACCATCATCATAATTTCAAGCAGTTGCTAAATGAATGGTCCTAAGTCAAGGACTATCTGTATGTGAATGTAGGTACAGTATATGGAAAACGGATATTTCATCTCTTGAAAGGGTTGTCTTTTCTTTATTAAAGAAAAATGTGTATATTTCCAGGATATATTAATTAGGAAAAAACCAAATATGAAGATAATCTATAGTTTAGATATAGCGTCTTACCGTCTACACTGGCATCATCTACCAAAATTATTTCCTTCAATAATATTGCAGGGGAAGTATGCATCACACTAAAAACTGTTCTCAGAAGAGTTGACCATGCTTCATTGTGAAACACTATGATAACACTTGTAGTAGGCAGTGGAGGACAGCGCTTAAATTTCTGCTCAATACATCTGGGGGATAAAACCAGAGTTTATGGGAAAAAAACAAAATAGAAATGTTAGATCTTAATACTCATGGTACAGATTTACATGTATGATAGATAATTTAAAAAAACATGTACCGAAAATAACATGGCACAGGTATTTTCTAAGAATCTCATTCTAACATTAAAGTGATAATCTATGCATCACATTGTGTGTAACGGTATGTGGAAATGACCTTAAGAGACAGGGCCAGGGGTGGGTTCCTGCTAGTTCTAACCTCTTCTATAGAAGAGGTTCCACAAATCTATAGGGCCGTTTAGAACCTGTTCCAGCTCTCCCCCGTCTGTACATCATCAAGATGAAGAGTCACCCAGTCACACGGCTGGCAAACACTCCCACCCAGTCACATGGCCAGCAAGCCACTCCCACAAAGCACGCCACACCTACAGAAGAGTTTCTAAAGAATTTTGAAACCCACCACTGGACTGGGCCCAGAGATGCTGTCTAGGGAATGGTCAGATAAGAGACAGCTTAGTGTATAGTTGAAAATTGGGTGTGGCCAGAGGTACACCCAATTTCTTGGGATGAGATCTATACTTTCAGACTTGCAAGATTCTATTAATATGGGTTACAATAAAGTAGAATTAAGCTCATCAGGGAAATTTCCTAGCTAGTCCACATTATAAGCCTGACATTATGAGGGAATATAAAGATTTAGGAAAAATTGCACACAAAGCTTCATCATAATTAGCAGATTACTCAAGTTTAAAATAAACAGAAGACCTGCTGAAAAATTGTTAATAAGAGCTTAATCAATGTATTGGAAGTACCCTAATCTCACATAATTTTTTCAAGATTTCTTAGTATTTTTTAGATGCATGATTTGCTATAATCAACGACTTCAGATATAGGTATATATATATATATATATA